GCTACTAGTTAAACTGCAGCTGTGGCTGGTAACCTGAGCTTAACTAGTACTACTAGTTAATTATTCCAGTGATTATCTGTCTCTTCTTTGTGTATTATTAGTCATTTGATGAAATACCTCAATAAATCATATCGACCGCACAGTCCAGTGTGTGTCTCTTTTTTTTATTGCAAGAAAATAAATACAATAAGGAAATATAAGATCATAAGGAGATCCTAAAGAATAGCACAGATCAAAATCAAAATAAGAAACAAAAAGCAAAAAATATTATATCATTTTTACAAAATTGAGAAGACGGCTTGATTGAAACTTTAAGACACTTAAATGTATCAGACCAAACAGTCAAAGATTAAATGTACATTCGTTTGAATATCAACAACACGAAAGTTACAATTATTGTGATCAATATTAAATCTATATCTAAGAAACTCTAAGGATGGGTAGATATCATTAAACATGTGAAAGTGTACTTCCTTGGCTTTGGGAGGTTTGGGAAAGGAGAGCTACATTGTGTCCTCAGAGTTTCTGTGTTCTGAAGGATTCTTACTCTCGCAGGTGTTTGTGGTCTTCCGTTAATGCACCGGAAGTCAAATGTAGATCTTTCATCTGCAGTTTCTGCTCTGTTATTGATCTCAGACTGTGTGTAAGTGCATGAAATAATAATGAAACACACAGAAAGAGAGAGTCGTTGTCAGCACTGATGAGCGGATCTGGCCGGTTTGAAACCGCATCTTTTATTGCTATATTGATTTTAATGTTAAGCTTGTTTAATATTAGGATGAGTTTGACTTTCTGAGCGTCATTTCTTTGTTTGAACTCATCGTTGTTTATTACAGAAGACCTGGATTGAGTCGAGCTCCAGATCGCGTCGTGTCGGTTTCTGACTTCCGGTTCATCGAGTCTTCCGCTCGTCGCTTCTGAAATCACTCGACATCTGCAGCCTCTCAGGTCTGTGTAAAACTTCTTCTTCACAACTCTAACTAACTTTGACAGATTTGATTGTTTTAATTATATCATTTTTGATTGGACTGTAAGTTGATATTAATAAATTTAATTAATTTTTTCTGTTAAGGTCTAGTGCGTTGTTCATTTATAAAATTAACTTTTGTTCATTGTTAATTCACGCTCGTTCATAATAGCCTACTTTAATTTATACAATTTCTGATGTTTCAGTGTATTATGTGGAAATTAATATGAACCAAAATGAATAAATGCTTTAAAAGTTTGTTCATTGTTAGTTTAGGATGCCTAAATTAAGATATCTGTATATTAACAAACGTTAATGAACCAAGTGTTATTTTAAAGTGATATTAAATGTATCATTTAATCAGAAGAAGCAAATGTTTCAGAGCTGAATGTGTCTTTGTTTTTCACTAATGCAACATTTTTGTGATTTCAGTGAAAGCAAACTTTAGAAACTTTTGTTACATGTTTTGTTGGAGGTCAGACATTGAGTTTTCGAAGGTCGTTTGAGATGTAGCTGATGTTTGAGAAGATGAACGCTCACGCGACAAAATGGAGGAGAGTGCGTTCAGACTCACTGTGTTTATTTACAGGCAGGAGAAGAGATTAATATTAATAACAGCTCACTGAGAGATGGACAGACGTGTGTTTGTGTTGTTCTGTCTGCTGACGGCTGTGAGATCAGACGGTAAGAATCGTCTTCAGCTGTTCCTTCAGTGTTTTTATTTGCTTTTTCAGAATCATATCAGTGTTTTGACCTTAATGAAACACCATTAATTTGATCTAATGTTAACTTTGCAGATAATCAGAAGAAGCCAGAGATCT